CAAGGGACCCCGTCCCTCTTGCGTTGTTCCTCTCCAGTTTAATTGGTAATTGAGAGTTGGCACATAGTTAAGGCTACAGCCCTTACTTTCTGGGCATCTCCTTTTCCACTCATTCTTCCCATGAGAGGCATGGGAGGCTCAAATGCAAAGAGTCCTAGGCTTGATGTGAGTAAACCCAGGTATTAGTGCTGGTTCTGCCACCTTCACAACCATGTGACCATGAGCCAGCCACTTCCTCTCTCAGGGCCTCATTCTTTCCATCTGCAATATGGGAATGCAAATCTCTGTCCTGTTTATTGTGAGACCAATAATAATGATAGCTACTAGATACAGCACATTTACATAATGCTTTAGATAGACTAACTCATTTAATCTTTATCACTTTGTACAGTTATTTGCACTGTTGTACATACAAGGAAAACGAGGCACAGAAAGGTAAACTAACTTTCTCAAGGTCACAGAGCTTGTAAGTGACTAGCTGGAATTCACATCTAGACAGTCTGCCTCCAAGAGTCGCAATCCTAAGCACTATGTTATGCTAATGATTTCTTTATAAAGCGTCCAACAGACAGTAGGTGCTTAATAATGGTAGTGGTTGACAGCATTGTGTCAAGTGTTTTGCACGTAAGGAACTGCTGGCTTGGTTCTGTTGCCAGTCACTTCAGCCTCTGGATCTGAGACCTAACCATGGGCCAACTTCCAGGGACACACCCCTGCAGGTGTCAGCCAGACACTCCCATATCCCTTTCTCCTCTCCCAGGGCTAGAAAACTTCCAGATGAATTTGGAGTGTCTACTTGTCTTTCTTCCTGCCTGACAGCTGCGGTGGGCAGTGCAGAGCTACTGAAGGACATTTTCTTTTGTTTCAGCTTTGATGCTGGAGATTTTGCATATCATTATGTTCGTGGCTAAGGACCTGCCATTATCTTCCCTGAGATTCTTGCACATTTTTGAATTTCCTAAAGGATCTGGCTCTTGGTCTGCTTGTGCTTTCAGGATGGGCTGCCCCAAGCCACCCTCTGCTTTCTCTGGGGTGAGAAGAGGGTGTCTTCTTTGCCATTGTAATTTTTAAAATACTTACCTTGATGTGTGGGTCTTTGACAATCAGGAATCAACCAGGAACCTGCTTAAGTTTTTGTATATCTGCGTACATGTGTGTTTGTGGCAGGGAGAATGTGCTAAGAACATGCAAAACAGCTTTTCTCAAAAATATTTAATATTCTAGTACTTTAGTTCCCAAATCCAAGGCTGATTGTTTGCTGAAAAAGTCTGAGTTTCCTGGTTTCTTGGTCTTTCATTAAGGACCACCCATAATAATATCATTCCCTCAGCTAACTCTGTTCAGGGGGTAAACACTTAACTGCTTAATTCATTATCGCTGAGCCTGAGATGGTAACAGATGCCGTTGGAACATAAGCCCCCACGTCTAATAAGGCACAGGCGCACGATGCGCTTGGAATATGGTGGGGAGAGATGGCTGAAATTTATTTTTTGAATAAAGCAATAAGCCACTAAGCAAAGCTAATATGTTTCAGCCCAGACAGAAAGACATGATCATTCAGTATTTATGTAGCAACCCATTCCTCAGTGGGACTGCAAGTTTTTACCATTAAGATTGTCAGAATTCTTCAGAGACCTACTGTATTAAGTCATTTAAAAATATCACAGACTTAAAACAATCTGAATTATTGGATTTTCTCACTGCTCCTCAGTAAGCATGTTTGCTGTGGCAATTTCCTGCTCGGTCAAAGGTGCAGCCTACGTCAGTCAGGAAAGTACAAAAGTTCCATGCAGAATTTTTATTTGGAAGTCCAGTAGTCCCTAACAGCTGAGACAAAGTCAGGCATAAATTTAATTTATTATTTTTCTTTTAACTTCTTCTTTTGACATAATTTCAGATTCCCAGAAATGTTGCAAGGAGAGTACAAAGAATTTCTGTGTACCCTTCCTCTAGAGTCCTCAAATGTTATTTTGCATTATTTGCTATATCATTCTTTCTGTGTAGATAGATTTAGATAAATAAATAGATGCATATTACTTCTGTCTGTACTGTTTGAGAGCTAGTTGCAGACATGGTGGTTTTCCCTTTACCCCTAAATACTTCAATGTTCTCTCTGAAAACGAGGATATGTTGTTATATACCCACAGTACAATGATTAAAACCAGGAAACTAACATGATACAATACCATTATCTAATCTGTTGATTTATTCTAAATTTGCCATTGGCTCCAATTAATGCACTTTCTAGTAAAAGAAAATGCTGGATCATATGTTTTAATCGCTTGTCAAGTCTCTTCTGCTTTCTTTTTCTTTAAATTTTTTAAATTTTTAGAAGTTTTTGTCTGCGTTGGGTCTTCGTTGCTGCGCGGGCTTTCTCTAGTTGTGGAGAGCATGGGCTACTCTTCATTGTGGTGCGCAGGCTTCTCCTTGCGGTGCCTTCTCTTGTTGTAGAGCCTGGTGCACATGCTCAGTAGTTGTGGCACGTGGGCTTAGTTGCTCTGCGGCATGTGGGATCTTCCCAGACCAGGGATCGTACCCGTGTCCCCTAGCATTGGCAGGCGGGTTCTTATCCACTGTGCCACCAGGGAAGTCCCCTCTTTTGCTTTCTTTAATCTGGAATAGTTCCTCAGTCTTTCTGTGTGTTTCATGTGACACTGACATTTTTGAAGAGAACAGGCTGTTTACTTCTAGAATTACCCCTCCATTTGGGTTTGTCTGATATCACTTCACAATTAGATTCAAATTATGCACTTTTGGCAGGAATACCACAGAAGTGGTGTTGTGTCCTTCTCCATACATCATATCAGGAGGTACATGATGTCAATTTGTTCCATGACTGCAAAGTCAGACATAAATTTAAAATAATCTTGCATCAAAACCTTGATTTGTTAAAAATTGCTTTGAAAGGTTTCACACTCGCTCCAGATTTTCTACTACAGGTCTTTAAAAAAACAGACTCAAAGACAAGAAGCTGCAAGCTTTACAGATGCTCAGGAGAAAATGTGGCCATTAAAAAAAATTGCCATGCAATAGTTATGAAATTTCCCTAAATTCATTTTGCAGAATGAGAACTGTAATTTAAACGTGAAGTTATCGAGAGCTCAGATACACCACATATCACGTGCAATTTAATCTGGCAAGGAAACAGGCCACTCGGAATTGCTAACTAGGCCTAATTCATTACATCTTGGTGAATGCTGTACTTTTGGCCTTACGAGTCTTTCAACTTGTGCATTAATATATTTACCCAGGCCTCATGGAAGATGTATGGGGATGGTAACAGAAATACTGTATCCTTGTTTAAATCACATTATGTTTTTTAAACAGCTCGAGTGATTGCTCAGAAAGATCACACCTTCTTCTGAAGCATTTATGAAACAATTATTTACATTACATTAAAAACTTTAATTGCCTTGAAGCACGTGTCCCAAGACACAGATATTGGAAAATCATCAAAAATATCCATCACGATTCTTTCTTCTTTACAACTCTTCTAAACTTTATCTTTTTTATAACCCTCTGTATTGATCTATTGTCCCAGGCCAAGAGTGATGTCAGAAGTCCAAGCTGGGTCATAAAAAGAGAATATAATTTCCGATTGCTGTCTATAAAAGCATATCTTTTGCCCAGAGAAAAAGGGGGGAAATGCCCCCTTTTGGGGTGGGATTTGGCAGGGGGACATGCCAGAGAGGGAGAGTGACCCCAGGGTCAGGAGAAGTGTTAGTTATGGAGGGGGTTGGGAGGTCTTGAGTTCCTCCTGGGGTGGGGGGTGGGTAGGACGTTGGGAAGAGACTGGGGACCTCTCACTTGCACAGAGGCAAAAAGAGGGATAATGTAAAAGAAATCTAGTCACCTCTATTGTCCAGCGTCCGAGAAATTGCAAAAGACCAGAATTTCCCTCTAGCTGGGCTAAAGACAGTCATAATAAAGGATGCCCATACTGCTAAGGACCCCTGAATAATGATGGTAATGATAGCAGAAACCTCTGTAGTTGTTAATGATCCAGAGCTGGGCTAGGGCCCCCTCAACATATCATAACAATAAAAGCCAACCCACTGCGTGGAAAAGGGCTCAAGAGGTTTGGTAACCCTCTTTAATAATCATAACAATAAAATGGCCTCCCATTCTAAAGTTGTGAGGAGCCCATGTAATTGGACTAAAGGCTCCCGAAAATAATAACAATAACAAGAATCCCTATTGCAGAGGACCCCAGGAAAAAACCCAGTGCTGTGGCCAAGACACCGCTCTGTAGTAATAATCCTAACAGTATCATAGCGTGGAAACTGTGCGCGGCAGTGGTGACATTTCCCACAACTCAGTGGCGCCCCCGGGCAGCTACCACCCGCCCTCTGGCCGGCTCCCATAAGCCCGCCGGCCGGCGAGTCTACACAGCTCGAGCGGCGGGCTGCTACCCTTGGATGCGAAGCTTAGCTGGCAGAGGAGCGGCGGCAGCCCGAGGCACGTGTTGTGTGTGCTCCGATTGCAAAAGAAAAAAAATGCATTGCAAACTATTAACTTTTTTTTTAAGTATGCAATGCCGGGAATGGGGGATAGACAGGTGCTAGGCGGGGGTAGGCGCCCCACGCGCCGGCCTCCTGCTGCCCCCCCCCAAACTTCCCTTTGCATTGATCAGCACGTTACGTCTGTATTGATAAGTTTGCAAAAAGCCAAAGTCAAGTGCAATCGCGCGGCACACCGACCCCGGACTTGGGGGGGAGATGCAGCGAGCGCTCCGCGGGCCCGGGAGCCGGCTGCAGGCAAGGCAGCGGCGGCGCCAGCGCCTCTTGGAGAGGCTGCCTCCCCCCCCGTCCCTTCCCATCCCATCCGCGGCCGCCTCCCCCCGGCGGGCACCGAGCTCCCCGCCCCGCGCGCTCCTCCCGCGCCCTCCGGGGGTCGGGGGGGCGCACGGCTCCCGGGCCCGGCGGCGGCGGCGGCGCGGCGGCGCCGAGGGGCTGCGGGTGGCAGGAGGCCGTGGGGCGCCCGAGGGGCCCCGAGCGGCGGCGCGCTGGGCCCGGGCGGCCGGCGGCGGCCCCGGGGCTGGGGGGAGTCCAGCCCGGATATTGAGTGCAGCCATTGAGAAAAGCCAAACTCTTGTGTGTGTGCGTCTCGAATAGCCCCCAAGATGGCCGCCAATGTTGGATCGATGTTTCAATATTGGAAGCGATTTGATCTACGGCGACTCCAGGTTAGTGCGGGCAGCACTGGCCGCGCGGCCGTGGGGAACCCTCGGGCGCGCCCTGGGCGCACTGGGGAGGTACCCGGGAGGGCGGTCGGGCGCCCCAGGGAGGCGGGCGGCGGCTGCTGGGGCTCGCCGGGGCTCGACTGCCCGCTGCCCATCGATAGGTATTAGGAATTGATCTCGCCGCTGCTCTTTGTTCGGTTCAATCATCGATTAGCCGCCGCGACCATGGAGAAGCGCTAGCGAGCCCACGGCCCGGGGAGCGAGGCGGCGGGCGAGCGGCGGAGTGAGGCATGGGGAAGGCAGGGTCTGCGGTCCCAGGCAGGGGGCTGCTGGCGGGACCACCGGCAACCCCCCTTGCGCCGCACTTTGCGCGCCTCCCAACTTCGCGGCGCCCGGGGAGGCCGCGGAGCGCGCCCAGTGCCTGTCCGCGCCCGGCTCGGGTTCGGGCGAGGGAGGGAGGGAGCTGGTGGGCTGGAAGGAGGAGGAGGAGGAGAGGGGGGAGGCATCCGGGGTTGGCGAGGAGGCGGCTCCGCGCCCCGTCGCCCGCCGGCACCTCCACCGCCCGCCTGGCTGCGCAGCCCGGACGCGCAGCCACCCGGGGGCCGCTGCTGCCGCCCCAGCCGCTACAGCCACCATCGCTGGACTGGCCGCCTACACCGGCAGACCTCTCCTTGGGCCGGGTTCTAGGGGTTCGTCTTTGCTTCTTGTCTTATTCCCGCTTCCGACCTCTTTCCAAGTCTAGATGGGGACGGGCGGTGGAGATGGGCCCGGGGCGCGCGCAAGTTTGCGCTCCTGCCTCGGGGGCCTTGGAGAACCGGGAGCGGAGCAGAGCAGGTGACTCCAGGCTCTTGGGCCCACAGGAACTTTTAAATGGGAAATTCCCTCGCTGTCTTCTACCTCCTGCTTTTCCTCCCCGACACTCCTCTCTTTTCTCCTTTCTCCAGCCTCTTCTTTCTTTCTCTCTCTTCTTTCCTTTTTCCTCCCTAGGGTGACTCCCTCCCAAACTCCGGCACTTTATCCCCATTCCACCTTTTTCTGGGAGTCTGTCTCCTCCAGATTTGGGGGTATTCTCTGCTGACCCAATAGGAGGCCGAGCTGGGGAGTGGAATCTCAGAGCTGCGCGCTGGAGGCACAGCGCTAGCCTCTGTCCTTTCCCAGGTGCCCCAGGACGCTCCAGACAAGCCCCCCAAACTCAGGAGTCTCACCAAGGTGCGGTGGGAACAAGGGGCGGGGAAGTGGTGCTGATAACGGGCGATTAAAGCATCCTGCCTTGGCCTTGACATTCTCAGAAGAAGGGAGAGCATCAGTCTGGAGATAAAAAGGGACCCACTTTTGGTTTTGTTTTTTTTTTAATCCGCCTGCAAATCTCGTCAAGTTTCTTCTGATAAGTAGTTACAGTACCCCCTTCCTCCTGGTGGCTTCCCAACCCCCCTCCTTCCTAACTCCTCACTCCCTGCAGGCCCCCTCCCTCAAAGCCATTGAGCTGGAGAGAAAATCGGGGCACTCAGGCATGCAGTTAATAACTGCGAGTGCCTTGCAATTCCAGGTCGTCACTCGAGTTGGGGCTACAGTTTGGTGGCCAGCTGAGGCGGGCAGGGCTGTGAGCTGTGCTTGCTGGTTTAAATGATGCTAAAGTGGCCTTTCTGGAAGAGTGGGGGATGGGGGGAGAGAGAGAGAGGGAGCGAACGGGAGAGAGTGAGTTGGGCAGCCACATTGGGCTTGGCACGAAGGCCAATGGTAATTGTATTCCCTGCTAATGTTTGTAAATGAGACCCGGGCACGGCTGGGGGACAGCGTCTTTATTTATGATTGATGTTCTGTAACATAAGGAATGACAAGAACGTGGCAGATGAGAGAAGAGGAACCAGAAGGGCTGGTGAAAGCCCTTTGCAGGGTCCTATTGTTATTCTGGGCTGGAGAAAATTTCCGCGGCGAGATTTGCAGCGCTGGTATTTGCTCCCGGTTGGCCAGAATGTCAGTTAACACAATTTTCATTAGATAACTCGTTTTCAATCCGGGGAGCTTGGGCTGCAACCGGGAGGTAGAGTGAGACCTGGGGCTGGATGCTGAGGGGTGGGTGCGGCTCCCAGGGGGCTGATTTCTGAGCTGGAGTGGAGGGGGTGTTGAACCTCACTCTTTTCCTTCTCGGGCTCAGGGGTCTTTTGTGGAGCTGTTGGGGTCACCCAAATCTTGATTCCAGTTGGACTGTCATTGATCTGAGAACCCTTTGTTAGGGTTTTAGAAGATGCTGAGGTGGAAAAGCAAATTTGAACTGGAAAGGATGAAGGTGGGGATGGTGGAGAGCCTCGTTCAGGTGATGGGGATACAGGGCCAAGACGTCTCCCTGCACAGGGTGTATACATAGGGTGCGGGAGGGGTTGGTGTGTTCATTAAGACAATGGCTGGTGTGTCTGGCACGAAAGGAGAAGGCTCTGGGGAAGGGGTTAAGCTCATTTACATGGATATTAAACGTGTGGGGGGGTCCCTGTGGGAGTTTGAAAAGCTGCACACTTTTAGAGAGCAGAGAGGTAAATGTGGCAGCGGTGGCCGAGTGTAAACATTGAGGCCCTCACATCTGCTGTGGTCCCCACCCTTGTCCTGAAATGTTCAGTTGTTCCCCTGCCCGGTAGGCCGACACCTCCCCCCGCAACCCCCCGTATTCTCACTGATGGCATTTTGTCGGAAACAGATTATGAGCGTAAGCACTTTTGCCTGGGATCATCTCTTGGGCATAATGCTAATGACTCCTGTGCCATACTTTTGTTTTCATTTTTTTCCCTTCCCACTTTCCTCTCCTCTGGGAGATAGCCAGAAAGGAAAACTTCAGCCGGCTCGTTCCAAGATCTGGGTAGGAAAGGTGGGTCCCCACCCCAGGCCCTGTGCAGGCCAGGAGCTTTGGGCCCACTCTTCACGTGGCCTAGCTGCTTATGAGTGTGAGGTGTGTGGCTTCAATTCAGTGGTTTCATGCAGCCTAGTTGCTGAGTGTTAAAGTGGCCGAGGCAGCAAAGGAGGCCTGTGTCCCCAGGCCAGACCATGCTGCTGACGCCACCCTGATCCTGGCAAGAAAGGTGACCTTGTACCGGCCTGCGCACAGCCCTCCGGAAGTATACATTTTTCAAATATAGAAGCAGTCCGGTTATTATTTCTTCCACTGCCATCTCTGGACACAGCGGGGCTGTTTTCCTAGGATGGAAGTCAGTCAGCAGTCTTAATGACTTGAGGGCTGATGATGGTAAAGATGCTGTGACATTTGGTACCCTACTCCAGGATCCCTGAAACTGCTTCCCCCTTTCTCTGCTTGTTCTTTTTTTTTTTCCTCTGCTGCTAGCAGTCCAGGAAACGAGAAGAAAAAAAAATTCTATCTCAGAGTTGATGCTAAGCATATTTCATTTGGTTATAAGATTGCTTTATGGTGAACATTACTAATGCAGTATTTTTTTATGGCTTTTCTGTGTATAATCGTCATAACTGGATTCATACCTTTGTGATTTTCTTTTTCTGCTTCACTTTGCCACTTTTTTTATGATGCTCTGGGTCCAGTCTCCTGTGATATCTTTTTTTTGTCTTCGAAGAGGGTTAACAAGAGTTGGTGCCCAGTCCAAATGCACATCTACGTTTCTTGGGAGGAAAGAGGTTGGGTGGAGGGATCATACAGTACGAATTCCGCTTGGGGTGTGAACATTTAGGGAGGAAGACTGACGGGTCGAGTGAGAGAAGCTGGACTTTTTGTAAGGAGTTTGGAGAAACTTCTGGGAAGGCTCAGTTTCTTGGCGCCTGGGAGATGGGACTTGATGGAATGTTTTTCCCTGCTCAAAGTTTAGAAAAGAGCGTGGATGTGATTAAAATATTATAACCTTATGATATTCTGAAGTGCATAAGTTTTACATATCAGCCACAGAGAGTTTAGACATCCATTAGAGCCTCTGACAGCTTGACTTATCTAAATGTGCTATCATTTAACAATGTGTCAAAATTCCTCTTTCTTTAGATGACAGCAGTAAATAAGCTATCAGCCCTGTTGGCGGAATCCTAACTTTGGAAACTTTGCTGTAATAGAATTGCTGCCGGGGTGGGGAGCACGAGCAGACCAGGCTTGGCGTGGCCCAGGCCCAGGCCCATGTGATGGCTGGCATTGGGCAAGGGCTGTGGGAGGTTGGAGGGGAAGGAAAGGGAGAGCTGGGAGGCAGAGGGTGTGAGGGGAGATTTCTAGCAGCAGCTCTGTGAATACGACGACCAAACCACCGGTCAGCCCCTGGACCCTTCCAAGTCCAGCCAGTGGGTGACCCTATTCCATCTGCCTCTCCAATTCATTGGAAGCCACACCCTGTGGGCCTTTTTTGCAGAAGGAGCTAGAAACAGGTGTTGAGAATTTATTTAAAGAACCCAGCAGTCTTTTCTGGGCATCCCAAAATTCTGGATTCTCAACTCGACAGAAATTGCTTCCCGAAGATGGGCTCTCTCTTTGAGTGCTGGAAGAAAAACGAGCAGCGTCTCATCCCTGACCGCTTTTGCTGTTGGAGGTCTCGAAGTTTCTTTTATTAATACCTGAATTCACTGTAGAAAATCGAGAAACCACGGACAAGCCTAAAGAAGCAAATAAGCATCTCAGTGGGTTATTTCAGATGAGCACGGTGTTATTTTGACCAGAGGGAACAGGTTTTCTGATGGTGATGGTGCTTTTTCTTTTTTTTTCCTTCCTTTTTCTTTCTTTCTCCTTCTTTTTTAAAAAAACTCTTCTGTTAAAAGGTGGATTCTATCTTCGAACTTGACATTCTGTTGTGGTAACCTTTCTTCCATCAGATGGGATTTAAAACGTGAGCACCTTGGCTGGTGCTAAATTTGGTCCTGGATGATGGTGGACATGGCTGTCCAGGAACTGTGGTTTTCTCTGTTGCTTTCTGAAAGGGCTGAATTTCTGGTGGCTTCCAGATATCTAATTCAGAGACTGAGTCTGGCAGAGGTTGAGCATGGGAAGGGGACTGAGGTGGTGGCCTACCTTTGTT